ACTCTTCATTTTGTCCATCCCCACCCCCCTCACCCCCACCCTTCCTGTCAGTTAACCTTCCAAGTCACGGTAACCAGCTGAGTTCAGTCCAGCAAACACTTTGCTGGGCACTCATACTCTCGATGCCACGCATGGTACTTTGTGATGTGCACTTTGCTCAGATTTCATGGTCTGGGAGAGAGAGATGTCTAAATGGATAGGGATTCTTCAGGGAAATAAGTGCTAGGCCATATTTCCCTCCTAGACATCCTTGTATCTCTAATCCCAGGCCAGCATCTAGTACATAACAGCAGCAAGACTGTTACAGTTAGCATGTACCGAGGGAGAGGGAGAACTATGTGCCAGGCATTGCACTAAGCACTCTGTTCTCAGTGTAATCCTCACCACAATTTTATGAAGAGTTAGTGTAATTCCAGTTTTAAAGATGTGGAAATTAAGTCACAGAGCAATTAAATAACATGCCCAGCTAGTAAGTGGTGGAGCCAGGATATAAGCCCAAGCAGAGTGACTCTGTTGCCTCTGAGTGTCTGCTGAGTGACTGAGTGAAAGAGAGGACAGAAGGGCAGGAGGTGGGAAAGAGAGAGTGAGAATGTGGGAACCGGTGAGCACGGTGAATGCCAGTGCTAGGTAAAATGAGGGCCACAGGCATGGGAGGCTGGTTCTGCTTGGCAGGGGAAGCTATCACAAAAGGTTTCACGAAGGAAGTGGTGCTTAACTGAATGTTCAAGAGAAACAGGTTGTCACTGGCTAGGGCAGGGCAGGGTAGACAGAGCTGAGCCAGCCCTTCTACTTTCCCCCTCTCACCTTCTCCAAAACTTCTCCAATGGTCCCACCTCTACTGCCCCATGCATGAGTTTTCCTCTTATTCTAACCAGCTTATATGCATGCTAAAGATTTTCCTAACCTCAAAAAAAAAATCTTTCCCTGCACTTTCCCTCCAGCTATTGCCCCATTTATTTGTCTCCCTTTATAACAAAACTTCTAAAAATAGAAGTCTATTATTCCCTGGCTCCAATTCTGTTTTCTCTTAAACCCAATGAAATCAGCATTTCACCCCCACTCCAGTGAAACAGCTCTACTCAAGGTCAAGAGTAACCCCTGTGTTGGCAGATCCAGCCATCAATCCTATGGCCACCTCCTCCCAGGCCCCACACAGTGTTCGATGCAGTTGGTCCCTGCATCCTCCTTGAGACCCTTCCTTCCTTTGGCAACTGAGACATCACACTCTCTCCTGGTTATTTTTCCATCTCAGGCGCTGCTTCTTTCAGCCTTTTGCCATGCTCCTCCTCACCTCCCGAATGTTGATCATGAAAATGCACATGGTGATCAAGGGCACTCTCCCACTGGAAATCATTTAGGACTCTCTCCAGGACAGAATCCACACTTGAGCCCAGTATTCGAAGCCTGCACCATCTTGCTGCCTGCCTCTGCCGCCTCACCTTTCATGAAGTATTTGTTTGGCGCTCTGGAGACCAGCCAGCCCCTCCAGATGTCCTTTCTCACCACATCCTCCAAAATCCCTGGGAATTGAGTGGTTCCCATTTGCAGATGAAGAAGCTGAGAATCAGATTGTCCTTCCTTTGCCCAGGGTTACACGGCTTGCAATGTCCTTTGTGAAAGTTTCTAATTCCAGATCCTGTGTTCTTCCCACTTACCACCCATTTGTTGTTTGACCTGATTCCTAAAACTCGGTGCTTCTCAGTGAAGCAGAGGCATGGAAGTCTGGTTCTTTCTTTTAGGTGCCAACCTCTCCATCTGGATCTCCTCTGAAGAGCACAGTGGTTTACACTCTTCACCCCAGGCGCTTGGTAGTCACGTTTGCAGGACAATGGGTGCTCTTACTGGTCCAAATGCTAAAATCTCCCCAAATGAAAGGCCAGCTGCAGAGCACAAGAACAAGGGTTGAATGATTTGATCAGACATCTGTGGGGGCCTCCTGGCATTTGGAGTGTGAGCGCCGTAGAGAAACTAACCATTCTGGCCCCGAGGGAGTTGGAGACAGTTAATCTTGGTGGTTCTGACCGCTCACTGCCCTAGAGGTCCCAGCCTGCTGCATGACTCAGAGTCCCCAACACTCCCCCTATTCTTCTCTCACTGGGATAGTTGGGAGGCCATTTCTAAGGCATTTTAATTTGGTAATAACTTGACATGGCCCGCTATGCCTAGGGCTGTGCGATTTAGAAGTTACTGTTGCTTTCTCAGTGAGGGAGTTGGCTTTGAGCTGCTCTATCTGGGATATCTGACTGCCCTGCATGGCCATGGGAGGAGCCTTTCCTGTTGGCTTCTGGCTTCCCATGTTCCTGCTTGTCTGGGCTTTTTCTTCTCCATTGTGGATTACCTGAGTGCACAGACCCTGGACTATTCCATAACCCAATTCTTTTTTTTTTTTAATTTTTAAAAATTGTTATGCAATTTTTAGAGATTACTTCCCACTTATGCTTATTACAAAATATTGGCTATGTTCCTTGTGTTGTACAATACATCCTTGAACCAGTCTTACACCCTGTAGTTGGTACCTCCCACTCCCCCACCCCTGTTTTGCCCATCCGCACCCTTCTCTCTGGTAACCACTAGTTTGTGAGTGAGTCTGCTTGTTTTTCGTTATATTCCCTAGTTTGTTGTATTTTTTAGATTCCACATAAACATGATATCATACAGGATTTGTGTTCCTCTGTCTGACTTATTTGACTTAGCATCATGCTCTCCAGGTCCAACTATGTTGCTGTATATCCTTAGCCCTTGATCCTTGAGGAACTTCTCCAGAAGTTGATGGTGTTTATTAGAGAGGAAAGATGTGGCCGAAGGTTTGACTGTTGTTGTACATGCATTTCTGCAAGGCACTGTGTTAAAGGGGCAATGGCCATCCATCTTTCCTTTGCATTGTGGGACTTTCTGGAATTCAGAAAGACCATAGGAACCCACAATAAAAGGCAGGCCAGGGGATGGGGGGCTATGAGGAACTCTTAATGCCTCACTGAATGTTACACACTGCCAGAGAGCTTCTCTACCCCATCTCCAGCTGCACTGACCGTGCGTGCTGTCCCCGGACTCTGTGATGGCACTGACCGGGATCCACACCAGCGAGGGCAGTGTCCTGTTAAGAGCTCCTGCACTCATGTCAGAGAAAGATAGGTTCAGATAGTATCCACCACTTACTAGTTGTATGACCTTGAATAAGTCTCTTCATCTTTCTGAGCTTCTATGTAAATTAATAACAGCACCTACTCACGTGGCTATTGAGAGGAATAATTGAAGAAATCTGTAACATTTCAGTCACTGTGCCTAGTCCAGAAGTTTCCGGTAGGTTCAGTCATTGCACTGAAGTTTATGTTTCATTTCTGAAGTACAGTTGTTTCCATAAGAAAATACTGTTATGTAAATTCTCATGTTAAATCCTTGACCTTTTTTTGCCTGCCAAATAAAGGCCCAACTCCGACTTGTCACTCAGCATTTGTATTTGCATCTCAGGCTTTAAATTTCATTGTTAGGGAAGACTAAGAAAATGTAGATTTCTAGAAGAAAATGCATGTAGATATAGATGAGTTTGTCTAAATTCAATGAGCCATGGCTCTGTATAAGGCCCTGGGCCAGGATCACAGGGCTGAGTGAATCACACATGATACACGCTAGGCGGTGGCATCATGGTTTCTGGCTGTCCTGTACAGGCACCAACCTCCCCCACCCCACACCCACCACACCCCAGTCCCTGCAGAAGGCAGCCCCAGGGGAAGACTTGCCGCAGGGCCCTGGCACCACAGAGCAGCTGGGCATCAGCGTGCTGGCAGCTGGCCCAGGGGTGGAGGCGGGGGAGGTTGGGGATGGGAACTGGCCAGCAGCCAGAGCTCCCTCAGGTGCCCCAGCACGCAGGGCCTCCAGCCCAGCAGTCACAGAATGGGTCCTGTTCTTCCACTGTGGTTTTCTCTAGACTGCACTGAGCAGGGTTTGGGGAGGCAGGGCAGTGACTCCAGCCCCATGTTGAACCCATACAGATATTGGAGACCAGAGAGGTGAGATGACTTGACTACAGTCACACAGCAACAGATCCAGGGCTAGAACTCACAAGTCTTCTGAAAAATAGTCAGCACTCTCTGACTTGTGGACTCCTGAGATTGCCTTATTTCCAGTCCAAGTGCAGTGAGACTGTCAGTGAGATTTCCTTCAGAAAATCATTGGGGTCTTCTGCCCATTCTCTGTGCAAGGAACTGGGGGTACAGGGTTAAATCAGACCCTGACTTTGGGAATTCACTGTGCCATGGTGGAGACCTTCTACCAACAGTTGCAGTTCAGTATGGCAAGTGCCAATGGGGGCAAGCATGTAATGTGGGTGGCGGCGGATGGACAATAAGCACAGAGGAGGCACTTAGCCCAATCTGAGGGTCTGGGAGTTACTCCCAGTGAAACTGACATCTGAGCTGAGTTATGAAGGACCAGGAGGCAGGAGGAGGAGAACAAGAAAGAACATTCCAGGCAGAGGGAATAGGATAGCAGGAGAGCATACTCAAGGAAACCCCCCGGCATATATATGATATGTATTCAGGGCATTGAGTACTTCCCACTGGCTGGACCATAGTATGTGTGACAGAATAAAGGCAGATGAGGCTGGACATGTAGAAACATTCAAGAAGGTTGAAAGGGCTGTGCCTGTGATTTTATCAAAGCCTGGAAGCTCTCTCCTCAGGTCTCCAGGGCTCCACTCTCCTATCTGGGAGCCTGGATAGAGATCCTGATTTCCTTGCAACCAGGCTTACTGCAAAGAATCTATTCGAAATCCAGTGAGTTCCTTTCACCAAATTCCACAGAAGGGCCTTGCTTGTTTATCTACTTATTCCTTTAGAATGTCCTGGCTCCTCCCCTCCACCCGCCTCTGGAAACTTGGTGTGGAAAAGGGACTGAAGTGCTGATTGTAGGAAACGAAGCTTGATTCAAGGTTTAAACACCAACAGCTCTTCATGAAACAGTAACCACTGCCCAGCAAGCTGACTCTCCCTCTCTCCCCACAGGCCTGCAGAGTTAGCCACCAAGTACGCAAACTTTTCAGAGGGAACCTGCAAGCCTGGCTATGCTTCAGCCTTGATGACTGCCATCTTCCCCCGGTAAGTGCTCTGGTTTCTTCCCATCACCTGGCTGGTCCGGTCCATGGCCCAGGACTCAGACACACCTGCCCCTGGTAGCAAGTGCTACCTGAGAAAGTGAGAGTCTGTGATGCCTTCTCTCCTGCATCCTTGAGTCTGTGGGTGCCTGAAAGGACTTTGCTTTTGGTTGGCTTCTACCCCAGTCCTACTCTCGGCCCTGGCTACACCTTACCCCATCCTCCTCTCCAAGCTTGTACCTGCCAGCACAGCTTGTTTCTGCAGAGGAGAAAGAGGAGGTAGGACCTATGTGCTCCCCCTAGGAAGCCAGGTACCCAGAGGCAGCCAGACACTGCTCCGCAGCACAGAAGCTCATAGTCCTTTTTAGAAGCTAGGACCTGGCTTTGGGGAGGCATGTGCAAATAAAGCAGGAAATAAAGCAGAGGAGTTTCTGAGGCTGGCTGTTTTGGCACCTTCCCTCTCTGTCCGTTTGGCATCCTGGAGTTCCTGATTTCCTTGATTGCAGGCTGCTGGAAGAAGCCCTGCCAAACCCTGGGAGATCCTTTCACCAAATTCCCTTAAGAGGCCTTGCTTGCTTATCTGCCTTTTCCTTTTGGGTTTTCTTTCCTGAAGCCTCGGTGTGGAAAAGAGCCTAGTGTGCTGTGATCATCTTGCCTGCGGTCTGAGTGCAGTGAGACCCTTGGGGTTGTTTCACTCCTTCAGAGAGCTTTAGGAGTATCTGACTTGAGGGGTTGTAGGAGGGGCTGCTCAGGACCTCTGGGAGTCAAGATGTAGCACTCAGACCACCAGAGGAACCCTTGGGGTGGCCTTTTGGAGTGGGCTCTGCTCACTAGGGGAAGGCTATGCACCCCATCCCTTAGAGGCTGAGGTTAGGGCACACAGTGTCCTTGCACAGGAATGCTGACAAACAGCTTGCCCAACAGCAGATCTGGGATATTTGGATTTTACGGACCCTTTCTTTCCTAATGTAAGCCATTCAAGCTTAGCTCCTTCTATAAAATGGGGGCTCTGCTGGCTGAATATCTGGTGTTCAGATAGAGATCTTCATCCAGGCTCTGCCTTCTGACTTGATTCCAGTATTTTGCTTCCCCCAGCTATTTACTGAGCACTTTTTCAGGGTCTGGCAGTATGTTCCATATTCTTACATGGGTTTTCTCAGACCTACATGGCTCAGGCCCCTGGGCCAGACACCTGTGAGTTTTCCTTGACCTGTATGTGGATTTTATAATTGAAAGTAATACAAGCACATGGCGAAAAGAACTCTACAGTACAAAAGAGTATATACTTCCACTCCAGATCCCGGAGACAGCCAATATACCATAAAAAGGAACAGACTGTATTTATTGTCCTATGTCTTGCTTTTTATGCCTAACAATATATCTTAGAGATTATCCTATTATCAGCATATATGGATTCATCTTATATTTTAAATGATTGCATAATATATAATTGGAGATATCACGATTTTATTAAAAATTCACTGAAGTTTAATTTATATACAGTAAAAATTGCTTATTAGTATAGTTGTATGAGTTTTGATAACACCTTTGTGCAACTCCCATAACAATCAATAGAATATTTCCATCATCACCTCCAAATATTCCTTCATGCTTCTTTGCAGTTAACCCCCGCCTTGACTCCCAGGCCTCAACAACCGCTGTCCCTGTAGTATTTGCAGAATGTCATATAAATGGATCATATCATAGCCTTTTGAGTCTGCCTCTTTTGTTTGGTATAATGCATTTGAGATTCAAGCATATGTGTAGCAGTTGTTTGTTCCTTTTTATTGCTGAATAGTATTTCATTATACAGGCATAACATTTTATGTTGTTTATCTATTCAGCAGTCAAAAGGGTTAAAAAAAAGTCAAAAGGGTTAATTCCAGTTTTTAGCTATTATAAATAAAGCCAATATAAACATTTGTGTAGAGGATGTATGCTTCACTTTCTGAGAATTTGTCAAACTGTTTTCCAAAGTGATTATATTCTTTTGCTTTCCTGCCAGCAAAGCATGAGGATTTTAATTGCTTTACATCCCTGATATCAATCTTTTTTATTTTAGCTGTCCTAGTAGGTTGAGAGGAAGGATCTGCGGAATGATCCTACCTGCGGAAGGATCATTATTATTATTTTTTTTTGGGGGGGGTGCTTCCCTTGTAGCTCAGTCGGTAAAGAATCTGCCTGCAGTGCAGGAGACCTGGGTCAATCCCTGGGTTGGGAAGATCCCCTGGAAAAGGAAATGGCAACCCACTCTAGTATCCTTGCCTGGAAAATCTCAGGAACAGAGGAGCCTGGTGGGCTGCAGTGCATGGGGTCACAAAGAGTCAGGCACGACTGAACGACTAACACTTACTTACTTACACTAGTAGGTTGAGAGCGGTATCTCACTATGATTTTAATTTGTATTTTACTAATGACTAATGATGTTGAGTCACACTTGCCTGTGAGCATTCAGGAGTCTCTGGCGAAGGGCATGGATTGACAGTGACCTGCTATGGGGTTAGGGGCACTGAATACAACAGTTCTGAGAGCCTCGGGGTATGCTGGCATAAGTCCTTTTGAAGGAGGTAGCCATTACCCCTACTATAGTTTGGCCTCAGGGAAGGAACTACAGGGAGGAAACACAGCCCTACCCATCAACAGAAAATTGGATTAAAGATTTACTGAGTATGGCCCTGCCTATCAGAGCTGGGCTTCCCAGGTGGCGCTAGTGGTAAAGAACCACCTGTCAATGCAGGAGATATAAGAGACAAGGGTTCAATCTCTGGGTCGGGAAGATCCCCTAGAAGAGGGCACGGCAACCCACCCCAGTATTCTTGCCTAGAGAATCCCATGGACAGCTTAGTCTGGCAGGCTACAGTTCAAGGATCACAAAGAGTCGGACATGCCTGAAGTGACTTAGCACATCAGAGAAAGACCAGATTCCCCCACAGCCAGTCCCTCGCATCAGGAAGCTACCACAAGCCTCTTATTCTCAACATTTCAGAAGGCAGACAGAACGAAAACCACAATCACAGAAAACTAACCAAACTGATCACATGGATCACAGCCTTGTCCTATTCAATGAAACTATGAGCCATGCCATATAGGGTCACTCAAAATGGATGGGTCATGGTGGAGAGTTCTGACAAAATGTAGTCCACTGGAGAAGGGAATGGCAAGCCACTTCAGTGTTCTTACCTGGAGAACTCCATAAACAGTATGAAAAGGCAAAAATGATATGACCCTGAAAGATGAACTCCCCAGGTTGGTAGGTGCACAATGCTACTTGAGAAGAGTGGAGAAATAGCTCCAAAAGGAATGAAGAGGCTGAGCCAAAGTGAAAACAGCACCCATTTGTGGATGTGACTGGTGATGGAAGTAAAGTCTGATTCTGTAAAGAACAATATTGCATAGAAACCTAAAATGTTAGGTCCATGAGTCAAGGTAAATTGAACATAGTCAAGCAGGAGATGGCAAAAATGAACATCAACATTTTAGGAATCAGTGAACTAAAATGGACTGCAATGGGTGAATTGAATTCAGATGACCATTGTATCTACTACTGTGGGCAAGAATCCCTTAGAAGAAATGGAGTAGCCCTCATAGTCAACAAAAGAGTCCAAAATGCAGCACTTCGGTGCAGTCTCAAAAATGACAGAATGATCTCTGTTTGTTTCCAAGGCAAATCATTCAGTATCACAGTGAACCAAGTCTATGCCCCAACCACTAATGCTGAAGAACCTGAAGTTGAACAGTTCTATGAAGACCTACAAGACCTTCTAAAACTAACACCCCCCAAAAAAATGTCATTTTCATCATAGGGGATTGGAATGCAAAAGTAGGAAGTCAAGAGATACGTGGAGTAACAGGCAAGTTTGGCCTTGGAGTACAAAATGAAGCCAGGCAAAGGCTAAGAGAGCTTTGCCAAGAGAACACAGTGGTCAGAGAAAACACCCTCTTCCAACAACACAAGAGAAGACTCGACACATGGACATCACCAGATGGTCAATACTGAAATCCAATTGATTATGTTCTTTGCAGCTGAAGATGGAGAAGTTCTATACAGTCAACAAAAAACAAGACCAGGAGCTGACTGTGGCTCAGATCATGAACTCCTTATTGCAAATTCAGACTTGAGTTGAAGAAAATAGGGGAAACCACTAGACCATTCAGGTATGACCTAAATCAAATCCCTTGTGATTATACAGTAGAAGTGACAGATAGATTTAAGGGATTAGATCTGATAGACAGAGTGCCTGAAGAACTATGGATGGAGGTTTGTAATATTGTACAGGAGGCTGTGATCAAAACCGTGCCCAAGAAAAAGAAGTTGAAAAGGCAAAATGGTTGTCTGAGGAGGCCTTACAAATAGCTGAGAAAAGAAGAAAAGTAAAAGGCAAAGAAAAAAGGAAAGATATACCCATTTGAATACAGAGTTCCAAAAAATAGCAAGGACAGATAAGAAAACCTTCCTAAGTGATCAGTGTAAAGAAGTAGAGGAAAAAATAGAATGAGAAAGACTAGAGATATCTTCAAGAAAATTAGAGATACCAAGGGAACATTTCATGCAAAGATGGGCACCAAAAAGGAAAGAAATGGTATGACCTAACAGAAGCAGAAGATGTTAAGAAGAGGTGGCAAGAATACACAGAAGAATTGTACAAAAAAGATTTTCATGACCCAGATAATCACAATGGTATGATCACTCACCTAGAGCCAGACCTCCTGGAATGCGAAGTCAAATGGGCCTTAGGAAGCATCACTACAAACAAAGTTAGTGGAGGTGATGGAATTCCAGTTGATCTATTTCAAACCCTAAAAGATGATGCTGTGAAAGTGCTGCACTCAATATACCAGCAAATTTGGAAAACTCAGCAGTGACCACAGGACTGGAAAAGGTCAGTTTTCATTCCAGTCCCAAAGAAAGGCAATGCCAAAGAATGTTCAAACTACTCCGCAGTTGCACTCATCTCACGCTCAAAGTTCTCCAAGTGAGGCTTCAATAGTACGTGAACCTAGAAC